TGATAGTGACGCCCGTGTTGAGCGACTCAAAGATTTGCAACATTGCACGAGGTGCCTCAGGAAACATAACATCAACGACTGTGATACCCAATTACACACCTGTAATAGGTGTAACAAAGGTCAGCACCATGCAGCATTGTGCAGAGACACCAAAACAACGTCTCCAAACCCCAAGGTGGAAGATAGCATTCCCACCACAGTACAGTACTGCAAGGTGCAACCAACAAAGAGTGTCCAATCGGCAAAGTCTAAAGGTAATACGACTTTGCCTACTGCCCAAATTACCATCCTGAATAAGAGGGCCAAGGTCCATACCCGTGGGTTGTTTGACCAAGGATCCCAGAGAACATATATCACTAAAAAGTTGGCAGATGAACTACAATTAAGGCCTGTAGCCCAGATGTCATTCAACATCTCAGGGTTTGTAACAGATGCAGGACCTCAAGTCTACCAGGTGGTACAACCATCAGTACGTTTAGGCAGGTACGTCTGTCGAGTACAAGCCATTGTGGTGGACAAAATACCAGTAGACCTACAAGTTCAAGGTCTGAGAGCAACAGCCAAATTCCTGAGAAATAGAGGAATAAAATTGGCAGATAATATTAAGTCTGATCACCTCACCGACTTCGGTCTCCTTGTAGGGACAGACTATTGTCATCGATTCATCGGTAGCCCTACTAAATATCAGGGTATAACCATGTTAAACTCTGCAGGAGGTAAATTACTCTCAGGCCCAGTATCAAGCCTGAGGAGACCTATGCCTGCAGATAAACAATACCAGTAGAAATCTAAATTTGTCAGCTGATTATATTTCTCCAGTAGCATTATACTAAGGAGATTACAGCTGACTATAGTAACAGAGGTTGATGTTAGTATCATCATTTAAAGCTGAAGATGAGTTCATGAGGCCTCAGTGGCAAATCAGTGAACAGTAGCCTAAAACAGCTACAAGTCACTGCGACCAATGTCACTGAACCCACTGCAGTCTCAGAACCATACTTTACTTTAATGATGAGCTATTCAATCTTCTGAATCAATTAACTAAATTAAACCCCAATAAATCTGATGACTGATTTGATACATTTATTATTTAATCAAGATGTATTCCATGGGCCTCAGTGTTTATATATCAGTGACCAGTTACCTGAACAAACTTCAAGTTATATCTAATGTCACTGATCTCACTGCAGTCCCTGAATCATACTTGACTGTAGTACTTGATCACATCCAGTCTTCTGGGTTAAATAATATGTAATTAGGCTTGAATATTAGCCTTTCAAGAGTTGACAGGGAAATGAAATCGCATTAGACTTCTAACCCCTGCAACTCTAGTACGGGACATCCGTCCTGTACGAACAGACACACAAATGTGTGATTACTAACTACTAACATCAAATTAATCTAATAATTCGAAGGAGGAGTATCGGTGTTCGTCTGTTCTAAATAGGACTTCGACCCGTGAGCAGCCCCTGGGGAATTATGTCGGAAAATCCGACACCATTTAATATCATACAGATAAGAGCTGTGTTGTATAAACAAGTTACCCATAGAAAACGTAACTTGTAGTGGAATTATCGTCTAAAGAAAACGGGATATCATCACCACATACTATTATAATTCACCACCTATTATGGTGGGAATTATTCTTAAATACATTAGTCTTTGGACTTTACCATCATAAAAACATCTTATATAAATTAACTTAATTATCAATATTAAAGTAGAGTAAATGTGACCCTTCTATCACTTTCTGACATGTGGACAATGTAAGCCAGGCGTCAGTGGGGAAGGAGGGCAGGCATTGTTGTGTCACCTCCGAGACGTGTGGAGCAAATTTGGCTCCTATCATATCTGGACAATGTCGGCCAGGCGTCAATAGTATGGAGTGTTAGATGCAGCCATTGTTGAGACTAGACCAGAGGCTCACACGGGAGCAAATTCGGCTCCTGTTAAATTTACTTGGACGTAGTGTTATGGAAACTAAAAGTGTACCATTATCAACACGCTGTCTACAAATTCAAGTTAAGTGTTCTTTCCGAAACCCATTATCTATCATTAGTGGCCATTAATGTCATTGGGTAGGGTTAGCCGGTTAGAACGCGAAATCGCCTCATACTAAAGGTAATTAAGCCAGGTCTTTAATGTTCCATGTACTGTATAGTGTTTTCTCTGATATAGCTTGTCATATATAGGAATCTGGCTTCACAGCTAGCGCCCTTTTGACAGGTCAAGACGAGGAAGCAAGATTTGTGCACCAGTTACTGGGTGATGGAAGCTACCTCAAAGAGGATAATTTGGTGTCTACACCCTAGTTATACCTGGTGGACTAACCTGCTGTACTATAAGATAAGGAACCTCTTCAATGTATGTAGTTAATTCTGTAGTTTGATTGGCTGCATATATATTAATTTAATAACCCCCCTAATGTGTAGAGGATCGATTTGTGAGATTAGAGATTATTGCAGAAATACAGTCCACTTATCATTATACAAATTGCTATCGAAGTATATAAATTAACGTAAATATAAATTCATATAAATTAAATACACTGAATATATGAATCTCACAGGTCGGTTCCCACATGTGACCTACACTGACAGTAGTCTAATGATATGACCTACACTGACAGTAGTCTAATGGTGTGACCTACACTGACAGTAGTCTAATGATGTGACCTACACTGACAGTAGTCTAATGGTGTGACCTACACTGACAGTAGTCTAATGTCTAATGGTGTGACCTACACTGACAGTAGTCTAATGATGTGACCTACACTGACAGTAGTCTAATGGTGTGACCTACACTGACAGTAGTCTAATGGTGTGACCTACACTGACAGTAGTCTAATGATGTGACCTACACTGACAGTAGTCTAATGGTGTGACCTACACTGACAGTAGTCTAATGATGTGACCTACACTGACAGTAGTCTAATGATGTAGACTATTATCTACATATCAGTAAAATATCAGCTGAATAATGATGAATATTACATTATGAAAAGTTTTATCATATAGCTTATTATATAGGGATTTGAATTAAAAAAAAATTGTTTAAATTTTTCTGTGTTTTATATTGTCTTTTAAAATAATATAAAACAAAACTTTTAGTTGTGTGTTTTTATCGCCCATATTCTGCTGGAATGATTGAGTGGGATGAGCCCTGGAAACGCAGATGCGAATCCTGGTCTGGTCATAGAGTTCTTTGTCATTTATTGGCATTGGGACCATTCAACCTTTCTCACTCTTGTAGGCTCAGCGCAACAAGAACATGCCCTGGGATTTGATAAAAAAAAATTTACTCACGACTCATTTCTTTCTTAGTGGCCTTCTTTGGGGAATTCGTTGTACTCTACGATCTTTTTTTATTTGTTGGTCTGATGAAGACACCATCTTTGACATATGCCTTAGACGTTTTAGAGTGAAATCTTGCAGGAACTCGAAGGCTTCTGACTCCTTATGTAACGCTGTGACAACTTGTTTCATAAGCCCAAATTTTATGTGCAGTGGTGGGATTAGTATCTTCTGGGGATCCTCCCTGGCTCCCAACTGGCTTTGTTCTTCCCCACAGAGAACTTTACCTCCTATGGACAGTCACTTGGTAATACCTCTTTGGAGATCAATCAGAAACGTGACCCGTTTGAAGGTTCCGATGACGTCTCAGCCGGACTTAAAGGCGTCCAGCAATCACTAAAGCAAAGTTTAAGAAATAATAGCAATTTCCAATAATATGAGACATAAGCAATTACAAAATAAACTACTCAATAAAAAAACAATTGTCACACATTGTTAAAGACGTGGACTGCTGCACATCACCAGCAGCATTTACAGAGTGAACTTAACAGGAAGATATACTCACGCAGGAGAAATGTGCACCAGACGACAATGGTCACCAGGATCCCGAGCGGCAGTTTTAGTGAAGTCTCCCCCACGTCTGGCAGGTGACAGTGTTGTCCGCTGAACCCCGCCGGACACGTACACATGAAGCCTTCACAGAGAACGGAATACCATTAGAAGAGGGTAGCTTAAAAGAAAGAAAAAATCTAAACGTCTCATTATTAGGTGGAACAGAATTTCACTCATGAACATTAGAAACATAGGAAGTAGTGGCAAATTTCAAGTCAATTATAGAAGATGAATAAGATGAGTAGACAGTCCAAGTTAGTTGTAAGAGTAGGCAATGCAAATCAGGTGGATGAATAGGCAGTCGAGGAGAAATGGGATAAGACCAAGTTAGTTGGATATGCAATCCGTCAGGTCGATGAATAGGCAGTCCAAATCAGGTGTATGGGCCCACAAGAGAGGGGACCATATAAGAGGGGCCCACATGGGAGTGGCCCCCACAAGGGAGGGGCCCCACAGAGGAGGGGCACCTGAGGAAGAGGCCCACAAGAGAGGGGCCCAAGGGGGAGGAGCCCATGAGAGAGAGACCCATTAGGGAGGGTCCAACAGGGGAGGGGCCCACACAAGGGAGAGGCCCCCCCACAAGGTAGGGCCCCTCAAGGGAAGGGACCCACAAGGAAAGAGCCCCACAAGGAAAAGCCCTATAAGGGAGAGGCCCCCCACAAGGTAGAGCCCGATAGGGGAAGATCCCGACAAGGAAAGTCCCTCAAGGGAGGGGCCCCACAAGGGAGGGGCCCCACAAGATAAAGCCTCACAAGAGAGGGACCCCACAAGGGAGGACCCTACAAGGGAGGGCCCTACAAGAGAGGGACCCACAAGGGAGGGGCCCCACAAGGACCCCTCCTTTGCCTCTCCCTAGCCCTCCCTACAAGGTGGTGGGGAGGGGGTAGGGAGGGTGGGGCCCCTACCTACAAGGGAGGGGGCCCACAAGGAAGGGGCCCCACAAGGGAGGGGGCCTCCACACTGGAGGGCCCCCCAAGACAGGGACCCACAAGGGAAGGACTTACAAGGGATGGGACCCACAAGGGAAGGGCCCCATAAAGAAAAAGCCCTATAAGGGAGGGCCCCACAAGGGAGGGGCCCACAAGGACGGCTCACCTGGCTGGGTGTTGAAGCAGGTGCCTCCGTTAAGACATGGACGCCACACACACTCGTCCTCGTCCTCACACGTCTCCTCACTACTGCTCAGCGCCCGGCCCTCACCACACCTGTGACGACCACACCTGTCACTACCAGCCCCTCACTACACCTGTGATAACCACACCTGTCACTACCAGCCCCTCACTACACCTGTGATAACCACACCTGTCACTACAAGCCCCTCACTACACCTGTGATGACCAAACCTCTCACTACCAGCCCTCTACCACACATGTGATGACCACACCTGTCACTACTAGTCCCCCTCACCACATCTGTGGTGACCACACCTGTCACTACCAGCCCCTCACTACACCTGTCACTACAAGCCCCTCACCACACCTGTGATGACCAAACCTCTCACTACCAGCCCCCTACCACACATGTGATGACCACACCTGTCACTACTAGTCCCCTCACCACATCTGTGGTGACCACACCTGTCACTACCAGCCCCTCACTACACCTGTCACTACCAGCCCCTCACTACACCTGTCACTACCAGCCCCTCACCACACCTGTGATGATCACACCTGTCACTACCAGCCCCTCACCACACCTGTGATGACCAAACCTGTCACTACCAGCCCCTCACCACACCTGTGATGACCAAACCTGTCACTACAGGCCCCTCACCAAACCTGTGTTGTCCACACCTGTCACTACCAGCTTTTAATTTCATATCTAAATATGGAATATGTTAGTAATTATACATCCATATTTTAAGTGTAAAACACATCAGAGGCCGTTCATTAAATCGACATTTAAGACCTCTAAGAGAGATTACATGTTAACTAAATAATAATTAATCCGTGTTAAGAGTGGACAGTGGGAGGACAAAAGTTGTATAAGGCTGCCAACTTGCCCGAGATTTAGAATAGTACAATAATTTGTGTAACAATTGGTATCTGATTATAGAAATATGCGTCCAGAGCAGCAATCTGTTATTCCGGGGAATTACAATGGAGGACAACAATAATTTATGAGACTAACATTTTACGAGAACAGCAATTAAAGAGAAGAACAATTCAAGAGAACAACAAAAAAGTATGTTATTGGGAAAGTTTAAAACTGACTGCGATGGACACCAGAGAATTGTTGTGTACAGACCCGCAATGGTAGGACCTCCAGGTGTCGACGCAGGAGAGCGGGGGCCTGCAGGAGACGTTGGCACAGGCAGGAGGAGCCCCACACCCTTGCTCGACGCCCTGGAACACGCTGGCCTGACCCCAGGCTGTGCTGTTGACCGTTGGCGGTAGTGGTATCCTCCGCCCGGAGATCCTCAGGTCGTCCATACATCCTATAGTGGTAATGGTCAGGAGTAATATTATATTTATATCTCACTCCTTCATATTTATATATAAATATATATACTAAACATACCCATTTTAACACAAACCATTGTGATAGTCTCTGTGTATGCTGAACACAGTGACTCCAGCATACTCGGGCGTGCCTCCCACGTGAACGCCCTCCTGGCCGTCCACCTGCAGCAGCTGGCGTCCCTCCAGCACCACCGAGGCGTTGTACAGGTCCCCGTCGCCGTCGTCAGCCGTCAGGAAGACCGCTGAGCCGTACCTGCCAGGGACACACCTCTTACTGACCTACAAGGACCGCTCACATTTTCTCTTTTGTTGTGAACAAATTAGTTTAAAGGCAAATCGGAAAAATAAAATAAAGATAAAGTAACGAAATTCCAATAATTTAGTGACAGAGTTACAAGGACAGTATTACAGGGACACTATTACAGGGACAGTATTACAGGGATAGTATTACAGGCACAGTATTACAGACCATATTGTTGTTAGTATTACAGTGACGTAATGCAAGCTCTGCAATGTTAATGTTAAAGCAGTAGAATAACAATGCCCGTGAAACATTAATACATTGATTAAATGCAAATATTACGTCATTAGTTTTAGAGGAATACAGAGTGCCTGTATTACAATGATAAAATACCTGTATTACAGTGATAAAATGCCTGTATTACAGTGATACAATGAATGAATGAATTACGGTGATACAAAGCCTGAATTACTGTGATACAATATCAGTATTACAGTGATACAGTGCCAGGATTGCAGTGATTGAAAGAGTGTACCAATGTTACAGTGCTAGAGGAACAAGTGTCAATGTTACAGTGGTAAGATGTAACATCAGTAATTGTATCCATCACTAGAGGGATAGAGAGGCAATAAGAGAGCACGTGTACCTTGCAGCAAGGAGAGAGTGCCAGCGGCCGTCAGCGAGGGCGGCCCGGGAGAGACAGAGGGAGGTGGTGGGTCGCGGGTGGAGACGCAGCACCACACACACGCGGCCGCCCACCATCTCCACCGCCCACATGTCCCGCCCATGTTGTGACGTCATCACCACCAGTTCACCTCCTCTCCTCCGCGTCCTGAACCTGCGGCAGCAACACGTGTTACCACCTGTGTACGTGGGGCACGAGACACTCCTGCCACCTGTGTACGTGGGGCGCTAGACACTCCTGCCACCTGTGTACGTGGGGCACGAGACACTCCTGCCACCTGTGTACGTGGGGCACGAGACACTCCTGCTACCTGTGTACGTGGGGCGCTAGACACTCCTACCACCTGTGTACGTGGGGCGCTAGACACTCCTACCACCTGTGTACGTGGGGCACGAGACACTCCTGCTACCTGTGTACGTGGGGCGCTAGACACTCCTACCACCTGTGTACGTGGGGCACTAGACACTCCTGCCACCTGTGTACGTGGGGCACTAGACACTCCTGCTACCTGTGTACGTGGGGCACGAGACACTCCTACCACCTGTGTACGTGGGGGGGCACGAGACACTCCTGCCACCTGTGTACGTGGGGCACGAGGCACTCCTGCCACCTGTGTACGTGGGGCACGAGACATTCCTGCTACCTGTGTACGTACGTGGGCACGAGACACTCCTGCTACCTATGTACGTGGGACACGAGACACTCCTGCCACCTGTGTACGTGGGACACGAGACACTCCTGCCACCTGTGTACGTGGGACACGAGACACTCCTGCCACCTGTGTACGTGGGACACGAGACACTCCTACCACCTGTGTACGTGGGACACGAGACACTCCTACCACCTGTGTATGTGGGTCGACCGATGCTGACCTTTGATTACATGTCGCTTATTAGGGCCAAATACTCGCCATGTGAGCGATACAGGAAGCAATACCGAAGTATATTAGGGTATGAGATATATCAGGGCACCAGAACTATACCCCTCTCCCAGGATGTCCGTGTACCTTTTGCAAGTTACAGGGGTAACGATCAATTTCCAGTAGACAATGATAAATCCATGGATGGGATTATAGGTAATATGTTATTATAGCTGACGTGTTAGGACATTTCACACACATGATATCTGACCACACTGAGGTACTGAGAGAGGTGCCACACACCTGAGAGAGGTACCACACACCTGAGAGAGTGCCACACACCTAAGAGAGGTGCCACCTGAGAGATACCTGAGAGGGAGATGGTGGTGGTGTAGCCGAGGGGCGTGAAGGAGAGGGCCAGCTTCACGTAACTGTTGTGGAGGAAAGTAGTGGGCGTGGTGGGCGTGGCACAGCCTGGCCCCGCCCACCCCGGCAGGCACTCACACCGCAGGGAGCCAGGCGACCCCTGGCACCTGCAGAGAGAAATTGAGATGAAGAGGGAATTAGGAGCAAATGGAGAGAGAGAAGAGAGAACGAGGAGACGGGGGGGAAGAACAGTGGAGAGAGCACAGGAGATAGAAATAAATGAAGGAAGTGAAATAGAATTAGGGATAATGAGAGAGAGAGAGAAGAGAGGTGATAGAGAGGCAGACAGGATGCAGAGACTCTGAAGAAGTGGGGAGAGGAGAGATACACGCGAGATGAGAGGATGAGAGCTAGTGATAAAGGAAGTGTCTAGTATAAATCGCAAGAGATCGGAACACAAACACTGACACACACACCTTAATCATCGTTAGCATAATAATGTGCACAATAAGTACCGGGAGAGAACAATTGAGTGTTGCACATTGCAGTCGACGTTACACTTCATTTAGGTAACATACATTAACTCCCTAATTTGAATATATATATATATATATATATATATATATATATATATATATATATATATATATATATATATATATATATATATATATATTAATCACGTGTTTATTTTCGTGATATACACATATATATATATATATATATATATATATATATATATATATATTATTAAATATGACCGAAAAAGTAAGATTAATAATTCTAACACGAATTTTCTCAATCTTTCGTACATTTCTTTTCACTGTTGGAGGTAAATCAAAAATCAATTCTCCAAATTCATTTTTATTTCTAGTCTGACGCGACACGAGCGCGTTTCGTAAAACTTATTACATTTTCAAAGACTTTAGTTTACAAATCCACAACTGAATAGAACTTACGCATCTCCGATTTTGTTTATATCTACATTTGAGTGAGGTGGATGGGGTGAGGTGGCATTAATAGGGTATTAATTTCATCAACACAAGACAGAACAAGAGGTGGCATTAATAGGGTATTAATTTCATCAACACAAGACAGAACACGAAACAATGGGTATTGAATAGAAGTGATTGTAGAAAGCCTATTGGTCCATATTTCTTGATGCTTCTATATTGGAGCGGAGTCTTGAGGTGGGTAGAATATAGTTGTGCATTAATTGGCTGTTGATTGCTGGTGTTGACTTCTTGATGTGTAGTGCCTCGCAAACTTCAAGCCACCTGCTATCGCTGTATCTATCGATGATTTCTGTGTTGTTTACTAGGATTTCTCTGGCGATGGTTTGGTTGTGGGAAGAGATTATATGTTCCTTAATGGAGCCCTGTTGCTTATGCATCGTTAAACGCCTAGAAAGAGATGTTGTTGTCTTGCCTATATACTGGTTTTTTTGGAGCTTACAGTCCGCAAGAGGGCATTTGAAGGCATAGACGACGTTAGTCTCTTTTAAAGCGTTCTGTTTTGTGTCTGGAGAGTTTCTCATGAGTAGGCTGGCCGTTTTTCTGGTTTTATAGTAAATCGTCAGTTGTAACCTCTGATTTTTGTCTGTAGGGATAACGTTTCTATTAACAATATCTTTCAGGACCCTTTCCTCCGTTTTATGAGCTGTGGAAAAGAAGTTCCTGTAAAATAGTCTAATAGGGGGAATAGGTGTTGTGTTAGTTGTCTCTTCAGAGGTTGCATGGCTTTTCACTTTCCTTCTTATGATGTCTTCGACGAAACCATTGGAGAAGCCGTTATTGACTAGGACCTGCCTTACCCTACAGAGTTCTTCGTCGACTTGCTTCCATTCTGAGCTGTGGCTGAGAGCACGGTCGACATATGCGTTAACAACAATCCTCTTGTACCTGTCTGGGCAGTCGCTGTTGGCATTTAGGCACATTCCTATGTTTGTTTCCTTAGTGTAGACTGCAGTGTGGAAACCTCCGCCCTTTTCCATGACTGTTACATCTAGAAAGGGCAGCTTCCCATCCTTTTCCATCTCGTAAGTGAAACGCAGCATGGAACTCTGCTCAAATGCCTCCTTCAGCTCCTGCAGATGTCTGACATCAGGTACCTGTGAAAAAATGTCGTCAACATACCTGCAGTATATGGCCGGTTTCAAGTTCATGTCGACTAAGACTTTTTGCTCGATGGTACCCATGTAGAAGTTTGCAAACAGGACACCTAGGGGA